TGATCATAGCCTTGAAGGGTCCCCACCCTGAGGCCCCCAAATCATTAGTCCCTTTTGACAATCTTGGTCTAAGTTTTTGGATCTGATCTGCTTCCCGTGGTGGCCGATGGGAAGGCTCCCATTGTGGTGTCTGGGGGTGGGCAAGCCTGAATTCACAGACCCCTTCCAGTGCGGGCCAGAGAATCAGGAGGCAGAGAAAAGCACATGCAAGATGAGATGCCTCTTGGAGGAGCTGAGGAGGGAGGGGAGGGCACTGCCGTGATGATCAGAGGAAGAGGCTGGTGTAAAGGGGAGATAAGGAAGAGATGCGCTGTGCTTGGTGGCTGAGAACATTTGGCCTAGTGCTCCACTTTGGTGCTAGTGAACCTGTCTGGTGAAATTACTTAGTCATGAAAACCTGGATTCAAAGCCCACTGTAGCCGGTAGAAACACTCCTTCCGACTTCTGTGGTCTTTGCATCAGACACCAAAACGGGGAAGCAGGCCCCAGGGTGACTGACACCAGGGGTAGAAGCAGGAGGGCAAAGTTGGGAGGTGAAGGGAGCAGTAAGGAGAGATGGGGCAGTGACTCTGGAGATGAGGGGAGGTGGAGGTGAGAGACGAAGGGACAGTGAGAAGGCCAAGGCAATTGCAGTTGCAGTGGTGAGAAAGCTGGCCCCTCCGCTCCCCTCCCGTCCACCATTCAGCTAGAGACACTCCTCTAGCAGGTCATTTTGTCTGTGGAGCTGGTTGTGAAGCTAGGCATGGACCAGACCCCCCAGCCCTACGCTCTCCCCGGACGGCTAGATAAATCCTTGGGTCCTCTCTGCCCAGTTCTGCCCCTCTCTGCACACTCACCTTTTGTATTTCACCATATACACCACGTCTGGTGGGGACCCTTCCCCAGGGAGCCATGTCAAAATGATATCAAAATCCTTCGACAGCAGCGTCACATTCTGAGGTGGGGGCAGTTGCATTTGACCTGAGAGAAGGGGAAACCTATTTGAATGTGCCAGCACTGAGCCTACGCGCTGCTTCCCAGAGTCCTCTGGCGTTAGAAGACAGCACCCCCAGAGAACGGGTATCGGCATCTGTGTTCTCTTTGAAACACGGGTAGGGCAAGCGTGGGCAGTCGCAAGCTCAGGCGGGCAGGAAATGGGCTTTCTGTCTTACAAATGAAGAACGAAGATCTAAAGATGCTTCCTCTTCTGCATCAGGATGAAACTGTGACCTGAGGAAGTGGCTTTGTGAGAGAGAGTTGTGGGGGGAATGAGTGAGAGAGAAAGAGGATCTCCAAAACAGCGAGCAGCCCTGGGGTTCGTGCGCACGTGGCATGTGGGAGAGGCAGAGGCAAGTCCCAGGTGAGGGCTCTTGCCAGTGGGATATCAGCTATGCTGGGACAACATGCTCTCTCTCTGCTTTCGAACACAAATCCTATCTTAGATCTCAGTCGCCTGTGTTGTGAGCATTTTGCCAAATTTGCCTTTTTCTGTGAAATATTTCAGTTTGACCAAATCAGTATCTTCCAATGGAAAACTACTCTGTCATTAAGTTTCCAAGCTGCTGTAGTCCCAGGACGCCTTATCTGCTCCAAATATGCTATACCATATTGGTGATTAAGGACCTGGCCACCCTCCCTTACCTGTCCTGTTTACTAGTTTGCAATTTGAGCAAACTACAAAGAAGCCTTCTGAAATAGGAGCAGTCAGCAACAGGCTGGTGCATGTCTGGAAGCGGCTGGGGAGTTTGGCAATTATGTATCATATCTGCTTTCCTTTTTGGCACTGGATATCTCCCCCTTGCTGGCTGTGCTCCCGTGGGAAGATACTCGCTTTCAGCCAAGTTCCAGATCTTTGCTTTCAGCCTTCAGCATTTGTTAATCACGTGATTTCTCATTCAGAGTTTTAGCACACGCTGTGATTTCATACCACAAGCAGGCTGAAAAAGGTGTGCTTGCATCACTTCTTCTATTAGCCTCAGTCATGGCTGGGACACTGCACTAGTGGAAAACTCTCATTTTAAGAGGCCGCTGGTCTCTTTTTGGTGTGAAAGCACTATTTTGCCTACCCTTTGGATCTAATGCCACTTGCCAATGCTAACTTTAAAATTCCAGTTTGGAAAACGGGACTGAACTTGGGAGGGCATCTAGGTCAGTGATTCTCAAGCAGGCTGATGCCTTGTGGTCCTTTCAAGGGTATCACAGGGTGCCATGCAACATTACCACGGTTAGGTGTGCAAACATCATTCAAAAGATAAACCCGGAAGCTGTAGTGTTAAAAAACACGCACAGCTGCTGTGGCCTTTCTGCGTTTTTTGCAACAAAAGACTCGCCCTGCTATTTTTCTGTAATGAAAAACTGAGTGAAACTAGGAGCTGGCATTTTCACCAGGGTGCCTCAAGACAGTTAAGGGGCACCTCAAGTTTGTTGAGGTGTGCCTCAAGTCTAAAAAGGTTGGGAGAACCACTGATCTAAGTTATCGGCTATTTATGTTAACAGACAAGAATCCTTATAGTGATCTCATCTCATGTCTGACAGTCCACAGGCTGGTGCTGCCATCTTTTTTTATTAACAAGGACTATGGATGAGACCCAACAGCTAGCTAAAAGATCAGTGGTGCCTTCCTGACACACGTCCTCAATGACCTGCAGTGCCTCTTTCCTCTCTACAGGTAAGAAGGGTTGGTGTCCCCCTCTCTCTGCCTTGTGCTGGATCAGTGCCCATAACCCCTCTCTTTGTTGGATCAGATAAATCACTGTACTGCTGCTCTTTTGAACATGCAGCATGATGCTGAAACACGTCCAGGAGGAATTCTAGGCACTGACTTTCACCTCTGGCATCCCAGACCAGGACTGTTGCAACAGGACTCCTCCATCGGTCCAGATGCTGGACAGTTGGAAACCGTGCACACGGGAGAACGTCATCTGTGACAGCACAATATTGTCCACCTGCTTCACCACAGCCCTCCCTTGCGGGTACAATCTCCCTAGGCCATGGACCAGCTTGGGACTTGCACATCACAGGCTCTTTCGATCCCTATATCTTTTTCTCACCTGGATTTGATTTTGCTTTTGCATTTCCCCACTCCTCTGTCCTTCAGACTCAGGACTGGCCTGTCGTAGTGCTTTCAACTCTAGCATAAATCAGGCCACAGGCTGCCCAAGTTAAAATCCAAAGAGCTACCTAGACTTTCCCAATCTGAGGAAGCAGTCTGGGGACAGCACAAGTACAAAGGAAGGGCTGGGGCACTTCTTATTTGATGCATTCTGGTTTGGGAAGGCAACCTCCACCCCACTGATAGTGGTGGGAGCTGAGGTGCTCAGTACTGTGCAGAATCAGGCCCTTGAAAAATAATCCTGTCCAACATAATGGGAAATAACCCAGTCTGTCATGCCGGCCTGCTTTCTCCACACTCCTGTCTGCATTTCCCCTAGAACATATCCACCTGCATTCACATGAACCCGCCTGCATTCCCCCATGTGCCACCCATTAAACTCCAGCCTACAGAGACTCCACTGGCCCAGGCAACTGTTTCAAACCTAGTTTTTAAAGTCAGATTCCTCTACACACTGGTATCTTAGAGCAGGGAACACAGGCTGGCTCAGTGCTGCCCCGCGAGCTGGACACCTGGTGTTTTCAGGAAACAAACACTTTCTATTTATGTCCTTCAGCAAGATGCGGCTTAGAGCAGTGGTTCTCTACCTTTTTTCATTTGCAGACTCCTAAAAATTTCAAATGAAGGTACAGACTCCTTTCAATTGGAAGTGGAGGTATTCACATACTTTTGATTGATCATAGTCATTTTTCATGGACCCCTTAGACATAGTCTGGGGACCTGCAGGGGTTTCTGGACCACAGGCTGAAAACCACTGTTTTAGAGACACGCTTTTCATTTACACATATCCGCACAACAGCCTATGTTTCATTTTATGGGAATTGTTCCTGTTTGCATTGCTAAGTTCTCATCTGCGGAAACTTTCGGTGCCCCGGCAAAGATCAAGGAAAGCAACGCCCTGTTTGTTTGCCACCTTTCATAGTAAAATCAAGCCAGCAGAGTGCAGGGAAATGAGAGCAGTAAGAATTTCTGTACCATACCTTGGAGCCGCTGCAGGGAGCACCAGGTTATCAGAACACAAATTCTCCAGGCAGACATACTGAAGTGGAGACTTGAAGACTTTCCGCATGCCGTGTGCTGCGTTTTTCAAATCACTTTCATTATCACATTTTTGGTCTGAAGTCACATTACACACGGGCCACCCAGAGGACAGCGCGAGCAATTACCTGCCACTTTAACAGGGATAAACACAGCCCTGCCTGCTAGCTGCAGTCCAAGTGCTGGGCTGCATTGTGAACATAACAGCGGGTAGAAATGCAAGCTCAGGACAAGATCAATCCCAGCTTAACGATTACCAATTTAGGCCCCCAGTACAGGAAAATACCTCTTCACCTTCTTAAGCGTATGTGCTACAGGGAATGCAATCATAAAACGACCCGTTTTTGTTTCATGTGCTTTACCAATAACTTCCATTTCAAAATATCCCTAGGAGGTTGGGAATTATTAAAAGATCCAAACACAGCTTTTCAGGTCAGAGGGTAATATTAATTATTAATCATTCTTACCCTTGCTATTGGCAATATTATTATTAATACTGAAAATAATTAATATTTATAACACCAGTTTATTATATAGTCTCATATCCTATATGGCACCGGCCAAAGACTGTAACCCAGCCATTCCAGCATCAAGCCTATCTATCTCTTCCTGCTCAGTATATTGTTATAAGACATCATATCATCCCCATTCTAAAGGTAGGGAAACTGAGGCACAAAATTGTAACGGTGTCATGCTGTGAGTCAGTGCCAGAACTTCAACTGGAACTCATTCTGTGCTTTATCCTGAAACCCAGTACTGTTTTCTCCTAATACCTGGGTATCATTTGGCTAGCAAGAGCACCCAAAACCCTCAGTCAAGATCAAGACACCATTTGCAGTACAGATATATAGGCAGTAAGGTCTCAGCCCCAAAGAACTCACAAGAGTGATAAGCAGTACTGCGTGGCATGTGCAGTTATAAAAGGAAGGTGCTTTTCTGGGTACTGTACCTTGAAAGTCCCAAGAACCCTTTTAAACGTGGAACTGAAGTGCCAAGTTGCTCCAGCTTGGGCCCAGTCTCCTGGAGACAGCGGTGTTTTGTCCTTTGTACATTGAGACCAGAGCAGTAGGCACAGTGGTTTAGGTGAGATCTGTTTGCTTGGACACACAGCAGGTTTCAGGTGCTAATGTGTGAACACCAGGAATGGAAGAGCTCAGTGCACCTTGTGTACAAGAAAGTCCGACAGAAAAAAACCCTAGCCAGTCTGTGTCTGAAGAGTTGCCCTGTTCTGTTAGCAAGGCCTCTGGCAACACGATCAAACCCACGTGCCTGTGCTAGAAGAATGAGGCGGGCCTGTGCTCGGGCACCTTGCCAAAGCAAAATGGAACAGCTGAAAGGACCAACACCTGGACTCTGAACCTGCAGCTGTCAGGCTTACACAGAGGGGGAACTCACCACCAAGGGCATAGGAGCAAAATGTCTTGACCTGAGCAGTTGGTCAAAATTTGGGGATTTGTAGGTTTTTTCCCTTAGGAAGAGCAAATGAGAATGGAGTCTGGTGTTTCTTTGGCACAGTGCCACTTGCTTCCAAAGAGTTGGACACATCTCATTTCCCTAAACACAGTCAGGCTCAAACCAAGGGAGACAACAAGCTCCTTCCCTCCCTCCAGCCAGTGCTTTATCCTATAGCTTTCTTTCTCAGGGCCACACACTGGGCACAGACAGAAGTGCAGTTTCCTGGTCTAACTCGCAGAGCTTAACAGACAGCGCCATGAGTTAGGCCGACCCTCTCAACCCAACAGACATTAGCTGTTGGGTCCGGAGGGTGGGGGATTGAGCTCCAATTTGGAGGTGATCCAGTGAGAGAAGGCAGGGAAGGGAGGTCCATTCTGGGGTTTGCCTTGCTGCGCTGGAGTTGGGGGCAGAAGGGTTGGAGGCCCTCACCTCCGGGGGGCTCCAGTCCACATGCCCCACCCTCCAGTGGTGGTTGGGCAACCCCAAAACCAATCTCCCTCTGCTTCCTTCCCCACCTCCCATTCTGAAGACTGGGCTGACCAGCTCTCCTCCTGGCATGCACTGACACAAGTTAATGAAGGTGCTTTGCTTTGGAGCACCTTCATCTGAACCTCCATGGATTCAGATTGTCATGGGATCAGGTCCTTTTAAAACACTGCAGCCGTGCACTTCTCTCAGGGCACGGCTGTAGAGTGCTTTCAGTGGCCAATTGTGCAACAAAATATCACTTGTGTCAGCAGTCCCTGTGAGATACACAAGCACACTCATAGGCCGATCAAATCCATCATCTTTGGGTTTTGTTATCAGACTTCGGGAAGCCCTTGGCTTACATGACTCAACGTCTGTTCCAGCCTTTCCTATAGTCAAGTCCAGGATGTCGGCTCCCATTATTTCAAATATTTATTCCACAAAGGAGCTCAATGACTTCTGCAGATACCCTGAATGAAAGGCAGCTTTTACACCCTCCAGCTGCAATGAGGTTTTGCTCAGCCCCTAGATTACTGGTATAAAGAACCTAGTGATAAATGGCTTGGCACCTGGGGGATGGAAGATACAGGCAGAGCTTGGAGGAAGGAAAAGACAGGAGTGAAAGAAAGTTTTAAGACTCAGATTGCAAAATATTTTATCACAGCTCTAAAAGAAAATCAAAAGGGAGATAAAACTTCATCCTTCAGGGTTTAAAGCAAGCTCTCTTTGGGATTAGGATGAGAGTGTTTTAGCCGGGGAGAGATTACTCTACATTTGTCTGCAGTGGGGCTCCAGCATGTTCCTCAGCATTGCGTGTTGTGCGCTTACAGACACAAGATGCCGGACCAGATGGGTCTGATCCCACCTGGCGGTTGCTACTATCCTATGCTTCCTGGGCAAAGCTGCAGCATTAGGACAAGAACAGCAGTAGCTCACGGCGCAGTAGTGAAACGCCTCGCAGGTCTGGGAGTTGGGAAAAATCCACTGAAACCTTTTTTTTCAGAACGTGCTGATTGAAATTGAGAGCACCCATGGCAGCTTGATTTCTATGGGGTTCATCATTGTCATGAATGTCTGGTTCTCCCGTAGCTGTCTTTGCTGCTGGGGCCACTGTGCAGACTGCCCGGAGCTTACATTCCCTTCACAGAGGGTTTCATGAAACTGTTCTACATTGCATTTTACTCGAGCCATGTCCGCTCCTTTCTCAAACCTGAGGAAGGGCATTTTGTGCCTGAAAGCTTGCTTAGCATCTAACATCTCTCTTAAATATGATATTGGTTCCCCACAAAAAATCATCAAACAGTTTGTGCTTCTTGCATTTTTCTTGGACCATCACTATGCAGTCGCTACAGCATGGAGAGCTTTGACGTTTTTGCTTTTTGCTCTGACTTGGAATGGACCCAGATTTTACATTACTGAAATCCTCCCAAAAAGGAGACAATCTTCTGCCACCTGCCTCCACGCCCTCTCCCACCCTGGGTCACTGTGCCCACACCTGCCAGTTCTGGACTGTGGGACTTCCACTGGCATTAGAGCCAGAGAATGGGGCGCATTATTTGCAGCCACTGTCTTGTTCTTATCCTACCCAATGCGTATCCCCTTCCCTGGTGCATTCCTAGCTGCCTCATAAGAGAAGCTTAGGTCTTTGGTATCAGTAATGTGATGATACCTTAGATCTCAGCAAGAGATCTGGTGATGTTTATTAATGAGGCTAGAGAGCAGGTGCTGGCTCGGTTGGTCATTTAATAGCACAGCAAGGGAGGAGCAGGCAGACAGCAGCAAGTGTGAGCTGTGCAGAGACAGAGTGTGGATGCATATTGAAGAATTGCTGTCTGTGTGTCTAGCTGTTGGGAGGCAGGTGGCATTTGTTCCTGAGCCCCAGTCGACCAGTGTGGATCCTGGGTATAAAAGACTGCTGCCACCTCTGCCAAGCCGCTATGAGGCATAGGCCAGTACCCAGTGCATTAGTAACTCACTTGGTAGGAGATGGAGGAAGTTCCTCTCTCTCTTCCTTTTGGCAGGAAGATTGGCTAGGAGGGTGAGGAGCAATGTAGGGCTCTTTTTCTCCTCTCTGCAGCAGCCAGATCAAAGCAAGAAGCAATGGACTGGCCCACCAGCCACGCTGAGGTCTTGCTAAGAGCCCTGGAGGAAGGGCCCATGTCACTCTGAGCACGACCAGGTACAGACATTGCACTTTTACCAGTATAAGTGATCCGAAACTGGTCTATACCCATAACAGAACAGAAGTTGGGCACACACAGACTGGTTTAAAAATGAGGGAACCTGGTCTAAGATTGGCCTCCCCCCAAAGGACAAATGTGCGCTCTGTTTGCTCCTGATCTAAACTACGCTGCATGCAGAAAACCACATAACTTAGCTTGCTTCTTCCTCACGCACCGCGCCACGTGTCCCCACAGAACGTCAGGGGTGAATCCTCAGCCCGCTAAGCCAGTGGCGAAACTCCCCGGGATGTCAGCGGGGCCAAGGTTTCACCCCAGAAAAGCTGTCCGTAAGGAAGAACAAAAAACCGAGGGACCTGGAGGGTCTGTACCGCCAGGTGGCACTGCCTGTCAAACAAAAATGCCTCTGGGATGCATTGCAGGCTTGGAAGGCAGGTGGGAACTGGCTTCGATCTGGGAATGGAATTTGGCCTCTTTTAGCAACTTGACATGTGCTTGATTAAAGCTCCCTTCTTCTCCTGCTTTGTCTTGTGTCGTCCTCTATCCTCGCTTGCACCTGCATTTCTAAAGGAGTCCACAGACCGGCTGCCACCCAGCTTGAGATGTGTAGAGCCAAATCCTTCTCTGGTTACAGCTCTGCAGAGCTTGGTGGGGCCACGTCCGCTATAGGACAGGGGCCGGCATCCTCAGCAGCATGTCAAAGGCAAGCGGTGCTTAGCAGAGCACAGCTGGTAACTCCCTGGCCTGGAAACCAGGGGACCTGGGTTTCTTTGGAGTCAGAGGTTTGTGATGAAGCTTAAAGAGCTAGGAGCATTTATTCTGGAGAAGACAAGAGTGAGGAGGTACTGGACACAGTCTTCAAATACCTGAGTGGTGATTACAGAGAAGATGGAGATGAGCTTTTGTCTGTGGCCATAGGGGACTGGACCAGGAGCAATGGCCTTAAGTTGCAGCACGGGAAGTATA